TGCGGGAATTGTATGCCATCCTTGCAGCACTTATCTGTATTGCATCTATGCCTGTGTCATCATTTGTGGTTGTCTCAGACTCCCTTAGTGCTTTACAGGCTATACAGAAATTTTGATACACCTCACCCCTTAGCCCCTCCGTATCCAACTTTGGCTACGCCGCATCTTTACCAAGCATAAAGATATTGTTTTTTGTTGGGTCCCTGGTCATGTTGACGTACAGGGCAATGAATAGGCAGACACTGCTGCGCGGTCAGCAATACATGACCTACAGTTTTCATATAGGGGTATTCCATTTACGGACTATTTTGCTGCAATATCTTCACACCTTCACACCCGCTGGCAACAACGTTGGTCTACTATGCTCGGTAACAAACTTCAATCCATTAAACCGAGTATAGGTTACTGGCCGTCTTCTTATCAGTGTCGAGGTTGGGAGACTACTCTCTCCCGTCTTCGCATTGGCCATACTCGTCTTACTCATGGATATCTCATGGAGTGGTGCCCTGCTCCTCTCTGTGAGAATTGCCAGGCTCCATTATCAATAAGCCACATTCTGTTGGACTGCTCACTTTATCAACGAAAATGCAGAATTTGCCTCTGTCGTCGTTTTTCGCCCCGCTGCTCTCTCTTTACCTTCCCTTCTCGTGATGGACCCCCCTTTTTCATCCGGACACTCTCATTGACTTTTGACAACAACTGACTTCAAAAATTCTGATACCTTCAGCCCTTTCTACCTCAATCTCTTGCTACCCCTACCCCTGTACTATCCCCTGCCCCGCTGTTTTTGTAACCTACTGATCACCCCTCCTCCCTTCTGCCGCCCAATACCCTCGCTTCCTTCCCTACCCTGTAGCGCTGTATAGCCCTTGTGGCTTAGCGCTTCTTTTTGATTATAATAATAATGAACCAAACTGACTCGGGCGGTGCAGCAGCCACATATACACCACCACCTGGACCAAACTCACTCGTGAGCGGTGCAGCACACACAAATACACCATTACCCGGATCAAACTCACTAGTGGGTGGTGTAGCAGACACATATACAACATCACCTGGGCCAAACTCACTCGGGCAGTGCAGCAGCCACATGTACACCACCTGGACCAAACTCACTCGTGGGTGGTGTAGCAGACACATATACACCATCACTTGGACCAAACTGACTCGTGGGTGGTGCAGCAGCCACATATACATCACCATCTGGGCCAAACTCACTCGTGGGTGTTGCAGCAGACACACATACACCATCACCTGGATCAAACTCACTCATGGGTGGTGCAGCAGCCACATATACTCCGTCACCTGGACCAAACTGACTCGTGGGTGGTGCAGCAGACACATATACACGACCACCTGGACCAAACTCACTCGTGGGTGGTGCAGCAGACACATATATAACACCACCTAGACGAAACTCACTCATGGGCGGTGCAGCAGACACATATACTCCACCACCTGGACCAAATTCACTTCTGGGTGGTGCAGCAGACACATATACACCACCACCTGGACCAAACTCACTCGGGTGGTGCAGCAGCCACATATACATCATCACCTGGACCAAACTAACTGGTGGGTGGTGCAGCAGCCACATATACACCACCACCTGGACCAAACTCACTCGGGTGGTGCAGCAGCCACATATACATCATCACCTGGACCAAACTCACTAGGGCGGTGCATCAGCCACATATACGCCACCACCTGGACCAAACTCACTCGTGGGCGGTGCAGCAGACACACACACACGATCACCCGGACCAAACTCACTCGTGGGTGGTGTAGCAGACACATATACAACATCACCTGGACCAAACTCATTCAGGCGGTGCAGCAGCCACATATGCACCATCCCCTGGACCAAACTCACTCGTGGGTGGTGCAGCAGCAACGTATAGACCACCACCTGGACCAAACTCACTCATGGACCAAATTCACTCGTGGGTGATTCAGCAGACACATATACACCACCACCTGGACCAAACTCGCTCATGGGTGGTGCAGTAGACACATATACACCACTATCTGGACCAAACTTACTCGTGGGTGGTGCAGCACCCATATAAGCACCACCACCTGGAAAATAACTCACTCGTGGGTGTGCAGCAGACACATATACAATATCACCTGGATCAAACTCACTCGTGGGTGGTGCAGCAGCTACATATACACCACCACCTGGACCAAACTCATTCGTGGGTGGTGCAGCAGACACATATACTCCACCACCTGGACCAAACTCACTCATGGGTGGTGCAGCAGACACATATACACCACCATCTGGACCAAACTCACTCGGTGGTGCAGCAGGCACATATACACCACCACCTGGACGAAACTCACTCGTGGGTGGTGCAGCAGTCACATACACACCATCACCTGGACCAAACTCACTCGTGGGTGGTGCAGTAGACACACACACACCATTACCTTAATGATACTCACTCATGGGTGGTGCAGCAGACACATATACACCACCATCTGGACCAAACTCACTCGGTGGTGCAGCAGGCACATATACACCACCACCTGGACCAGACTCACTCGTGGGTGGTGCAGTAGACACACACACACCATTACCTTAATGATACTCACTCATGGGTGGTGCAGCAGCCATATATGCACCATAACCTGGACCAAACTCACTCGTGGGTGGTGCACGAGACACATATACATAATCACCTGGATCAAACTCACTCGTGGGTGTTACAGCAGCCACATATACATCACCATCTGGATCAAACTCACTCGTGAGTGGTGCAGCAGCCACATACACACCACCACCTGGACCAAACTCACTCGTGGGTGGTGCAGCAGACTCATATACACCATCACCTGGATCAAACTCACTCGTGCGTGGTGCAGCAGCCACATATTCACCATCACCTGGACCAAACTGACTCGTGGGTGGTGCAGCAGACACATATATACCACCACCTGGACCAAACTCACTCGCGGGTGGTGCAGCAGCCACATATACACCACCAACTGGACCAAACTCATTCGTGGGTGGTGCAGCAGACACATATACTCCACCACCTGGACCAAACTCACTCATGGGTGGTGCAGCAGACACATATACACCACCATCTGGACCAAACTCACTCGGTGGTGCAGCAGGCACATATACACCACCACCTGGACGAAACTCACTCGTGGGTGGTGCAGCAGTCACATACACACCACCACCTGGACCAGACTCACTCGGGGGTGGTCCCAGCAGACTCATTAAAACCATCACCTGGACCCAAACTCACTCGTGCGTGGTGCAGCAGCCACATATTCACCATCACCTGGACCAAACTGACTCGTGGGTGGTGCAGCAGACACATATATACCACCACCTGGACCAAACTCACTCGCGGGTGGTGCAGCAGCCACATATACACCACCAACTGGACCAAACTCATTCGTGGGTGGTGCAGCAGACACATATACTCCACCACCTGGACCAAACTCATCGGGGTGGTGCAGCAGACACATATACACCCCCATCTGGCCCCAAACTCACTGGGTGGTGCAGCAGGCACATATACACCACCACCTGGACGAAACTCACTCGTGGGTGGTGCAGCAGTCACATACACACCACCACCTGGACCAGACTCACTCGTGGGTGGTGCAGCAGACTCATATACACCATCACCTGGATCAAACTCACTCGTGCGTGGTGCAGCAGCCACATATTCACCATCACCTGGACCAAACTGACTCGTGGGTGGTGCAGCAGACACATATATACCACCACCTGGACCAAACTCACTCGCGGGTGGTGCAGCAGCCACATATACACCACCAACTGGACCTAACTCACTCGTGGGTGGTGCACCAGACACATATACACTATTACCTGGATCAAACTCACTCAGGCGGTGCAGCAGACACATATATACCACCACCTGGACCAAACTCGCTCGTGGGTGGTGCAGCTGACACATATACACCATCACCTGGACCAAACTCACTCGTGGGTGATGCAGCAGACACACATACACCATCATCTGTACCAAACTTACTCGTGGGTGTTGCAGCAGACACATATACACCATCACCTGGATCAAACTCACTCGTGGGTGGTGCAGCAGCCACATATACACCATCACCTGGATCAAACTCACTCGTGGTGTGGTGCAGCAGACACATATACACCACCACCTGGACCAAACTTTCTCGTGGGTGGTGCAGCAGCCATATATACACTACCACCTGAACCTAACTCACTCATGGGTGGTGCAGCAGACACATATACACCATCACCTGGATCAAACTCACTCGTGGGTGGTGCAGCAGACACAATTACACCATCACCTGGATCAAACTCACTCGTGGGTGGTGCAGCCGCCACATATATACCACCACCTGGACCAAACTCACTCGTTGGTGGTGGAGCAGCCACATATACACCACCACCTGGACCAAACTCACTCGTGGGTGGTGCAGCAGCCACGTATACACTTCCACTTGGATCAAACTCACTCGTTGGTGGCGCAGCATCCACATATGCACCACCACCTGGACCAAACTCACTCGTTGGTGGTGCAGCAGCCACATATGCACCACCACCTGGACCAAACTCAGTCGTGGGTGGTGCAGTAGACACACATAAACCAGCACCTGGACCAATCTCACTCGTGGGTGGTACAGCACACACAGAATGTTGCGTCACTGATGACTGATCATAATGATGCCAGGTGGATTACGGTTTTTCCCAAATATTCTAAATAAAATTATCGATTTATCGTCGTTCGTATAGCGTTATTGATTTTCTCTGTATAGGCCTATTTGTACTCTGTAATCATATAATAGGCTATATGGAAACAAAGAATTTTTCTCTAATGTTGCTGCAGCACTGTTTTGGGCATTAATGTCCCCTTCTTTAGAGGCTCTATGGTGTCACCCGAGACGGCCCGCCTTCCCCTTACGTTGCCACTGCGTAGTGATGCTTTGATCCAAGGAACTGGAGCTACCTTTCCTCTTCCTCGGAGTCACATCTGATTATCCCCACCTCTCCAATTTCCCATACACTGTGTAACCTTAAAGGGTCACACTATGACCCTCTCTAAGTATTTTCATAGAAAAATCCCTAAGTACAATCTTTTTTTTAGACCTATGTACAGTATTATTTATTTTCTTTACCCTCCTCTGTTTTTGCCTAATCTTTTATTTAAATCCCTCCATCTTTGATCTTTTAGCTCTTCCACTCCCTTGATGCTAACGAAGGGTTCCTGACTTAAGGCATTGAGGCTATCCCCCTCTTTCCTCTGATTAAACTGGTTACCTAGAGTTTCTCTCAGGCTCTGTATGACCTTTAAGGGTTTAGCGCTTCTCCTTGTATATAATAATCTCTCCTTACATCTCACCTGAGTTGTTCGTCCCAAAAACGCTGTAGGTATCAGAGTCGGGCCCATCTTGCAGGTGCCGCAGGATGGTACAGGTACCAACGAGGACTTACTGTAGCACTCCCAGTACTTGTCCGAGTAGAGAACCTCGTGCTCGACCTGGTAGTACACGGGCGTGGAAACACAGCATCGAAGTCCTCCTTTAATGCTGGCATCGATGCAAGTTTAAGGGAGAAAATTTAACCCTGAGGAAGAATTGTTTATTAAAAATATATTAGGAATTAATCTTAATGGCCAAAGTTATTCTGTATGTTTATAAATCTTAGTTTCTTTTCTTTAAATATGATGAAAAATACGAATATTTTCTGCATGTTCTATTCTTCATTATATTTTTGTTTTTAAGTAAAAACTCAAGACATGGTGTTTATTCTCAGATATGTCTGCACACGCTGACTATCTTACAACATCCTCCTACTTCGTTTAATAATATTGCAACACTTTAACACTGCAGAGTATCCAACATCCCTCTGACCTGTTGAAGTATGACCTCTTCAAGGGGGGCTCCTTGGCGTGGTGAAGAGGCTCTTGGTCTGAGGAATTAGCCCTGTCGGTCTTCTTCCTCAGACCGAACCTAATTACCCCCCATTCTCCCCTCCCCTACCCACCCCCCCCCATCCTCCCCTTTTTCCATTCCTCCTCCCCTCCTCACCCCCCCCTTTTGCCCCCCCTCTTTTTACCCTTTTCTGATTTCCCCCCCAGCGCGCTTTTCCCTTTGGTAGGGGAAAGGACACCGGGGGTTCCATCCCTTTCCGTTGAGGTTTCTTGGGGGTGGTTTTTGTTTCCCGTGGAATCGGGGTTTGTAGGATGTCCCGTCCCTTCCGGTATCCCGGAGGGGCTTTGGGTGTCTTTGGGCGACGGGTTATTCTGGAACCACCTTTCGGATTCCGGGGGTGGTGGCTAAAAGGAGGTATGCTTTGTGGCGGATACCGGCCCCCCTCTTTTTTTGCCCACCGGGGTCTCGCAATGTGAGGTTTGCTTCCCAGATTGCGGGGTTTACTGGCAAAAGGTTTTGGGTAGGCAGGGGGTTCCATGCTGCATCTGCGCTACAGCTTGTCGAGTCCTTGGGCGCGGAGGGGGGATTTCCGGCCCTTTCATTCCCCGGGGAATATTCCCCCCCCGCCCCCCCCCCTTTTTTTTATTCTTTTTTTTTTTTTTATTTTCTTTTCTTCTTCTTTTTTTTCTTAAAAAAAAAAAAGAAAAGGAGAAAAACCTAACCCATGGCACCCCTAGTCCAGGGAACCCACACCCCGGGCCCCTTCTTGTACGCCAACCCCATTCTGCCCGCCTTGTGTTTAACCACTTTTGGGGACACCCTTGGCCCCTGTCCCTCTTGCGGGGTCTTTTTCCTCACCCCTTCGGGTCCCGGGGGTTTTCGACGCCCCTTTCGATTTGTCTGAATCCGTCCCTTTGACTATTTTCCGCTTCCCCCTCTAGGGTAGGAAATTTTTCGAATCGCCCACCCATTTCCTGCCGGCCCAACTCCGGCCTACTCTAAACGCCAACGTCAATCTCCTGATGAGCTCCGTCTTTCCCTTTCCCCCTTTCACTGGGGAAACGACCGAAAAACGTCAAGCACTCCCCTCCCCAAACGCTCGTTTGACCACACAAGGATAAATTCTTTATTTTAAAAGACCAACTTCTTCTTCTGCCTACCTTTCTGACCATAGATTGCCAAAG